GTGATGGTTAGATCAGGGTACATATTTGTTAAAATTCACCAAACTGTACACTTTAAGATGTGTGCATTGCACAGCATGGAAATTATACTTCAATAAAGTCCTGTCAGCATAAAAAATAAAGGCTATTGGGGCATGCTTTTTCTCTGTGTGAACTAAAGGGGGCAACCACAGTATGATCCCATCACTCTAACACAACTATTTCATGTTTTCTTTTTCATATGCCTGCACGCATATGCACAAACATTCCATATATTTTTTCTTCCTTTTTTTAAAAAACAGTTTATTTATTTACTTTTAAACAGAGGGGAGGGGATGGAGAAAAAGAGAGAGAGAAACATCCATGTGCCAGAGAAACATCATTCAGTTGCCTCTTGCATGCCCCCAACTGGGGACCTGGCCTGCAAACCAAGCATGTGCCCTGACCAGGAATCAAACCAGCAACCTTTCAGTTTGCGAGATGATGCCCAACCCACTGAGCCACACCAGTCAGGGCTCTTTTTTTTTATACCTGGCTGCAATCCCACCATACATATGGTTTTTATGTCCTTGATATTATATCTTAAATCTGCATATGTGGACATAGTCTTAGTAATTGTATAGTTGGTCCTTGACTAATGAGGGTTTGACCTAACAGTTTTTGACTTTAGATCGTCATTTTATGAAGGCGACATTATCCTGATATTAAAACCAGATAAAGACACCACCACACACACACACACACACAAAAGAAAATTATAGGCCAATATCCTTGATGAACATAGATGCAAAAAATTTCAACAAAATATTAGCAAACTGGATTCAACAATACATTAAAAAGATTACAGACCATAAAGAAGTGTGATTCATCCTAGGAATGCAAGATGGCTCAACATTCATAGATCAATTAATGCAATACATCACATTAACAAAATAAAGGATAAAAACCATATGATCACCTCAATAGATGCAGAAAAGCATTTGACAAAATTCAACATCATCTTATGATGAAAACTCTCAACAAAGTGAGTTTAGAAGGAATATACCTCAACATAATAAAGGTCATATGTGATGAACCCTCAGCAGATATCAGACTCAGTGGTGAAAAGCTGAAAGCCTTTTCTCCAAAATCAGGAACAAGATAAAGATGCCAACTATCACCACTTCTATTCAATAGAATATTGGAAGTCCTAGCCACAGCTACCAGGTACGATAAAGAGATAAAAGACATCCCAACTGGAAAGGAAGAAGTAAAACTCTCATTATTTGCAGATGACATGATACCAATTATAGAAAGCCTTAAAGATGCCACCAAAATACTACTAGAACTAATAAATGAATTCAGTAAAGTTACAGGATATATAATCAATATACAGAAGTTTGTTATGTTTCATACACCAATAACAAACAATCAGAAGAAGAAATCAAGAAGACAACCCCATTCACAATTGTATCAAAAAGTATAAAATACCTAGGAATAAATTTAACCAAAGATGTAAAAGACCTTACTTTGAAAACTATAACACTGAAGAAAGAAATCGAACAAGATATAAATAAATAGAAAGATATACCTTGCTCATGGATTAGAAGGATTCATATTGTTAAAATGTCCTTACTACCTAAAGTAATATGCAGATTCAGTGCAATCCCTGTTAGAATACCAGTGGCATTTTTCCAGAACAACTTAATCCTAAAATTTATATGGAGCCACAAAAGACCCTGAGTAGCCAAAGAAATTTTGAGAAAAAACAAAGTGGGAGATAGCATGTTCTCAGATTTCAAACTCTACTAGAAGCTACAATAATCAAAATAGTATGGTACAGGCATAAAACAGATCCATAGATTAATGGAATAGAATTGAGAGCCCAGAAATAAACTCCCACATATATGATCAAGTAATATATGACAAAGGAAGCAAGGATATACAATGAGGTAAAAACAGTCTCTTCAATAAGTAGCATTGGCAAAACTGGATAGATATATGCAAATAATTAAAATTGGTCCATTTTCTTACACATACAAACATAAATTGAAAAGTTTGAAGATTGAACTTCAATTCATAAGATTGAAGACTTAAATGTTAGACCTGAAACCATATAACTCCTGGAAGAAAACATAAGCAGCAAACTTTTTGACATTGATCTTAGCAATATCTTTTTTGATATATCTTCTCAAGCAAGGGGAACTAAAGAAAAACAAATGAGATTATATCAAAGTAAATTTTTTTTTGCATAGCAAATGAAAATATCAATAAAATGAATAGACAACCTACTGAATTGGAGAAGACACTTGTGAATGATACATCCAAAATGGGGTTAGTATCCAAATACATAAAGCACTCATATAACTTTATACCAAAAAAACCAATCAGTCCAATAAAAAAATGGGCAGAGGACCTGAACAGACATTTCTTTCAAGAGGACATGCAGATGGCCAATGGATAAAGAACTGTTGCATATATACAATGGAGTATTATTCATCAGTAAAAAAGAGTGAAACCTTGCCATTTGCGACAACATGGATGGACCTAGAGAGTATTCTGCAAAGTGAAGTAAGCCAGACAGAAGAAAACAAAGATGTATGAATGCACCTAAATGCATTCATGGAATCTAAAAAATACCCCAACTAAATGAATAAACCAAATCAAACAGAAACAGCATCTTAGATACAAAGAACAAGCTGATAGTTGCCAAAGGGGAGGGGACAAAAATGACATGGGCACACACAGCATAGGGATGTAGGCAGTAATTTGCAATAAACGGTGGCAGACAGTTACTAGACTTAGCATGGTGATCATTTTGTTAGGTATATTGATGTTGAATAACTACCTTGTTTACCTGAAACTAGTATAATATTGTATATTAACTGTATTTTAATAAAAATAAATTAAAAATGAGACAAGGCAAAGGATGGTTGGCTTACTCAGTTCTGTTTTCCCTTTCACATCTTACCTCTTTAAAATGTTTAATTTAAAGCACACTTCAAATATTAGAGTATAATAATAATGAATTGTATCTATGATCTTGGTTTTTCTCTGGGGTCATTGTCTTTTTTTTTTAAGATTTTACTTATTTATTCTTAGAGAGAGGGGAAGAGAAGAAGAAAAAGAGGGAGAGAAATATCGATGTGTTAGGGAAACATTGGTCAGTAGCCTTGACTGGGACCAGCCCTGCAATCCAGGCATGTGCCCTGACCAGGAATCGAACTGGCAATGCTTTGCTTTGCGGGATGTTGCCCAACCAACTGAGCTACACTGGTCAGGGCAGGGTCATTGTCTCTTAAACATGTTCTGTCATGTATGAAAAAATAATAATCCAGCTCTATTTTTTAGTATACCATGGGAGATTGTTTTCTGAAAAACTCTAGCTACATATAACTCGTTTGTGTTTAAATTCTTTATGTTGTTGTAATATTTTAATTGTATTTGAAACATGTGAAAGAATTGTATAATAACCCCCATGGACCCATCGACCAGCTTCAACAATTATCCACGCTTTGTCAGTCTGGTCTCCTCTCCCCTGCTCCCTGCACATGTTTGGCAGGGAAGAGTGCTGGTGTATTTTTAAGCAGGTCTCAGACTTCATATAATTTTATTGTTAAATAATTAACTTTGTGTATCTAACAGAGAAGGCCCCATCTTTTTGTAAAATATAACAACAGTGCCATCATTGCACCCACAAAAGTAATAGTAATACAGGGGTTCCTTGAATTTTTAGTGAATTCAGAGAGGAAAGAGCATTGGGGTCAAGGAGCTCTGGCCTGAGTGTACCCCTTTCCTCCAGAAAAAAAAAAGGTAGAATTTACTGCAAAAGCATCTTTTAGCTGGCACTTTCCTAATCCCTTACATGACTTTCAGAAAGCAAATATGGGAAAGAACCATCCAGAGCACTGGACATAGCCAGCATTCACCTAGTACCTATTGTGTGCATCTCCATGTACCTCATCTCCTTCAACCTTCACACCAAAGCTGAGAACTAGAAACCAAGGCTCTAGGAGGAGCTTCCCAAACACAACCTGTGATTGGTCAACATTAGAATATGGTAACATCATCCTGGCTCCCTGCTGAATTAATAGGTGATTGCTGTTTAGCGTTAGTGTACAGGCTACAGGTTTGTGCCTTAATCTAACCAGATGTTTAACTGTTGTAGAAATAATAGCCAGTTCATTCTTTGAGATTCCCTGGGGAATGTTTAAATGAGGATGGTAATGTCTCAGGCAGAGAGAGCATGAGAATGGCTTCCTCTTCCCAGCCCAGGCTTGGGGACCACATAGTCTTCCCCTCTCACTAATCCTCTTTCCTCAAGCAGATCCAACAGTAATCACAGGGCTAGAGGACATTTGTAGATCTGTGCTTGAAAGATTTGATTATTTGCCATGGAAACCTGTAAACTTTTATTCAGTAAGGAGCATCTTTAAATAGCAAAATGAAGAAGTGCCTCCTTACACATGTTTGGCAGTGGGAAGAGGCCCCTTGAAGTATTCCAGGAGGTGAAGAAGGAAGGAAGGAAGGAAGGAAGGAAGGAAGGAAGGAAGGAAGGAAGGAAGGAAGGAAGGAAGGAAGGGAGGGAAACAAAAATCAAAGAACCTTCATAAATCGAGATTGATTTTATGACCCAGCTTGAGATGAACTCTGGTACTGAAGTTGTTTGTGTTTCAAATACCCTTCTGCAGACCCAAAGGAGTAAGCAGAGACCTAAGGGTCTCCCTTGGTAATGAGACCATCCTAGCAGGTTTACTGTGAGGCTACTGAAGCTTCAGCTTCAAGGCCCAGTCCTTGCACTGATCCCTTGCAAAACCTGGGCAGAAGCTCTAGAAATGTGTTCCCGTGCTCATGTGTATAATCATCAACCCACTTAATGCCCAGATCCACACATGCCTCTCAGGAACTGAGTTTTCAAGAGAAGAAGTGTGCATAACCATATCTTGATAAGCCTCACATTTCCCTAGCAGTAGAGCTTCCCTCCCTTTTAATTTCTCTTTGTAATCTGCAAGGATTTAACCTCGTTTGTATTTCATTTTTGCAGATGAAATTATGCAGCAGGAGATCAGGCCCTTGTTGGCAGTGGATATCATTGAACCACTTCACAGACAATTTGCCATTCTTTCAGGTAAGGGGTTAATTCATTTGTATTCCTAGATTTTGCTGGGGGCTCTGCTCCGAGGGCCCAGCCTCTTGAATCTTGATGAACATTCTACTCAAATTTCGACATCCATTAAGGCAGCGGTGCCCAGCATTTTTGGCACCAGGGACCAGTTTCATGGAAGACAATTTTTCCCTGGACTGTGGTGGCGGGTGGAGGGGGGACAGGATGCAGGCCTCAGGCCGGACGGGGAGGGGGGAGGCTGGGGACCTGTGCCGTAAGGCTCACCCGGACTGGGGTGCACTGAGGACCATGCTGCTGAAGGAGAGCAGGATCTCAGAGATGTCATTCCATTTGCTGTTGGGGGCAATTTGATGCTTCTCAAGGGAGTACATTTCTTCAAGTTGGTCAAAGAACAGAACTGAAAAGGTTTTGAGGAAGAAAAAGAAATAACTACTGACATTAGCTGATGTCATTTGGATGCCTCTCCCATCCCAGGGTTGTGTCTCAGGTGGGGACGGCTTGTACAATCCAGAACATCTGGGGAATTCTCTGGTCTTTCCTGCACATTGGCCACTGATCATATAAGCCACTGAGAGTGACATAGGTACAGGGTCCTCATTTTTCTTATTCCTGCCTGAATTGCCAGTGCTTAGAACAGAGACTGAAACATAGTAGGTGCTCAGTTCAAAATTACCCAAGTCCTCTTGGTCTGTCCCATGAGGCCAATGGATTCCCTGTTCCCTGCACCCCCACTTCAGGCACCCTGGTCTTGGCCCTGGAGGGAGCGCCCCACCATCCTGCTGAAGGAGCACTCTAGTAGCTTCCCGCAGTGAGCCTAGGGTTGTGCAGATAAAAAAGCAGGTTGGGAACTGCCTCTGGGTTTCTGGCAACTGCTGCTGTGGCCCTACCCCACAGAAGCCCCACGGAAAAAGCACTGGAATGGGTGAAGGGCTGGGGCAGGGGGATTCCTGCAGCCTTGCACCAAACTCTAATGCCCCAGTGTGTGAGCGCATCATCACACAGAGAGCACAGAACGCATACACAACTACACGATGGCTCATCTGGGCAAGGAGTCCAGCGACTGATTGGTTATACATTCAATGATAGAGAGTGATCTCTTTTGAGTATCATTGAGGTATTTCTTCCTTTTCTTCTTTCTTTTTTTTTTACACTTGAGATGATTTAATGAATTCCCCTCTGTGTGGCTTCAAGCTACCAGCACACAGGCCCCACCAACACTCCAAATCTTCTCCTTAGATCTTCTACTGAAGAATGTGGCCTTCACAGGACTGGCTGTTTTGGGAGCATTCCCTGCCCCAGGGCTTTGAGTCGCCCGGTCACACCACATCAGTGAAAGGAGCGGTGCCAGTCTTGTTTTTGGCAGCATTTACCTCTGTCTGCTCACTGACCCAGGTCCACAGTTTATCAAGGTCGACTGTGGGGCAGAAGCTCTGGTTCTTCTTTAAGCGGTCATGCCTCAGATATGGGTGGTATTTGCCGAAGCCGATCCTGTGATGACGCAAGCCACCAGCATCACCTTGGCCTCCGTGTGCTTCCTGTGCTTGCCCATGCAGCCTTGGCTAAGCTCACCTGGCCCCAGTTTCCAGGTCTTCCTCAGTCTGGATGGTGTGTTGGTGGTCAAGATGCAGGAAAAAAGCCCCCCTTTTTCATTTCTTAGAGGCAGAATAGGAGAAACATAATGTGGTAACAGACAGCTTTAATGAGGTTTTAGATTCTGGTTCACCTTGGGCAACTTACTTCTCTAAGCCTCTTCCTTCTTTTGAATAATCAGTGGAGTCATTGAAATGTTGAGGATTAACTGACATAATGTAAGAAAAATGCTTAATATTGCAACTTCCAAATAAAGGTTTGACCTTTTTTCATGATGCATTTTAATCCCATAAAATGTTTATTTTAGGGTTACATTAAGAAAATAATGTTCAGTATGATACAGTTTTGATAATGAACTGAAGCCACGCTCACAGTGAATGTGGTACATAATGCCACAGTTAGGTCAGGAAAAGATTTGTTGTCACTCTTTAATGCAGAACACAGAGCTGTGAGGACGCGCCCTGGACCAAGAGGACACGTCTGTTTTAGCAAAGGCTCTTTGGCCCTGTCAATGACAACCCTTCCATTTCTGAGCTTCTTCTGTTATCTGATTGCCTTTCTTATAAGAACAAAATATGGATCAGCGGTGGTAGCATTTGCAGCACTGCACGTATGTTAGACCGTCAGCAGCCGTGGGGTTCCAAGTCAACGCTCTTTTGGAATTTGGCCTGCTTTTGCCTTCAACCGTCCATCTTTACCTGGCACAGGCAGCAGATGTCAGCAACAGGGCCACTGCGGGTGGCTGTGTAATAGTGGGTGTGCGACGGAAATTTCTGTGATTAGTTCTTTTCCCATCGCCTTGGCGGGCCAGCTGTGGCCTCTGTGCAGGGTCGCAGCGGTTTGTCCTTTCCTGATTTGGGCAAGGACGACAAAGATGTTCCAGCCACGGGCTTTTCTCCAGACTCCACTGAGCTCTGGAAAGAGCCAGGGGCCCCATCAGCCAGGAACACTGCGAGGACAGAAAGGAGCCTTTTTCTCAGCGAGGCCCCAGTTGCTCTGCCTGCTGCACTCTGGGCGTGTGCTCGTCTGGCTGATGGGAGAGCAGGGCTCCTTGCATGATGCCTGGCCCAGATTTGTGGCCAGATGGTTTGAAGCCTCTGGGTGGTGAAGCCACCAGCAGGAACTGGCCCCAGGGCTGGGGCCTCTGGAGGCTCTGACCTTGGAAGACGACCTGATGTTCCCAGCAAGTATGAGATATTTCAGGGTTTAGCTAGGAGACAGGAGAACATAAGCAGGTGAGTGTGGTGGAAACACTAGGCTTTGTGTTCAGACAATCCTGGGTTCACACACTAACACAACTCTGAACCTCAGGTGTCTCACCTGTAAAGTAGGTTGTTTTAAGGCAAATGCCTAGAAGGGTACTGGCTATAAGAGAACTTAGCATATAGGGCTTGTTTGTTCCTTAAACCATATAACAAGAGATATGGAGGTAGAAATTCAGTATTGGATCAGTGGCTCAATAACATTAAGGCTGGCATCTTCGTGATTCTGTTGATGTTTCTTTTGTTTTTGAAGTCCTGATTCTAAAATGGATGCTGCAGCGGCTCTGGACAGCAAGTTTGTGTCCATAGCAGAAAGAAGGGAAAGAAGCAATTCTGGCTTCTGCTCCATCTGACAGAAGAATAAAAAGTTCCCAGAAGCTCCTGGCAGACTATATCATGGAGCCATTCCTAGCAGAGAGGGAGTCCATGCAAACAAACATCTAGCTTTTTAATCACTGTGTAGATGGTGGTCAGGGAAGAAAAGGTTGGGAGTAAATTAGCCATTTATCAGTATTTGCTGTAATGAGGGATTTTTAATTAGGAGGAATTGTCCTCTTTTTTTAAATCCTCACCCAAGGACATTTTTTCATTGCTTTTAGAGGGAGGAAAGAAGGGGGGATGGAGAGAGAGAGAGAGATTGATGTGAGGGAGAAACATTGATTGATCATCCTCCTGTACGTGTCCCAAGTGGGGAATGAACCCACAACCCAGGCATGTGCCCTGACCACGAATCAAAACCACAACCCTTTGGTCCACGGGACAATGCTACACGCAACTAAGCCACCCCTGCAAGGATCTTTTTCTTTATTTGTCTTTCAGTGGTTACTCACCTGCCCCCCCCACCCCTGGAATTATTGTCTGGACTTCCCACCGCCCGCCCTAGAACACCTTTAATCCTCTTAGAAATAATTAATAATGAAGGCATAAAAATACTCTTAGAGTTGTGGAGTCCCCAGCATTTCCCTCATATGCACACCAGTGGAGCCCAGGGCTGGTAGAGGCAGAGTGTAGGGCAAGTGGGAAGTTCTCACCAAGGAAGTGAGCAGAGTCCAAACTCATATCCTGAACCAGAGATGGAGCTAGTGACTTGGGAAACGAGAACCAGTGCAAGAAGGTCTAGAGCAGCGCTATTTCATAGAAATATAATGTGACCCCCACATGTACTTTTAATTTTGTAGTAAGCATATTGAAAACCAAAAAAGAGCACACAAAATTAATTTTAGTAATATATTTTATTTTACTTTATTATAACATTATAACATTATACATGTTATAATATTATATATTACAACATTACAATATATTAACATTATATTAATTAATAATATAATATTAATTAATAATATAACATTATAATATATTATATACAGTAAGAGAATGCGTTTTATTATATATGTAAAATATTATTCAACGTGTCATTAATATTCAAAATACTAATGAGCTACTTAACATTTTTTGCACTAGGTTCTGGAAACCTAGTTTGTATTTCACACTTGCAGCACATCTCACTTTGGACTGGTCACATTTCAGGTGCTCCGCAGCCACATGTGTCTCGTGGCTGTTGTGTTGGGCAGTACAGGCCACAGAAATGGTTGTCAATGTGTTGGACCAAATGCCTGCTTTTTATACTGGATGATTTGTTTTGCCCCTTACCATCCTTAAATGAAATTTATAGGCACCCTAATCTGTAACAAAAAGACTTCAGAGCGTATAGTGGCTCAAACAAACGCAATAGAAATTTAGTTCTGACTCTTGGAACAGTCTGGTGCATATGTTTCTGGACAGCAGATGACTCTTCTTCGTGTAAAGGTTCACAGTGCAGGCTCTGTTTACTTCATGGCTGTTATTACTACTGCCCATTTAATGACCTTTTTATCTGCATCCCGGAAGCAGGCAGGGCGAGGGAGCATCTCAAAGCCTCTGCTCAGCAACAGCACACGCCTTCTTCCACTGATTGAACCTGGCTCAGGTACATGGATGCGTTAGCAGCAGGGGAAGCTGGGAAGTGCAGTGAGCTACAGAGTGTGAGTAGCTACCCCCCTACTTACTCACATACTTTAACTTTTAAAAAAAAGAAATATAAAGGAGAACTGCCATGTAAAGGAGAAATGAAAGTAAGCATAGTAAAACAGCATGTACTTAAGTATACATTTCTAGCTGTGCTAGTGAACAATCATGCGACAGCCAGGTGCCTGCCCCTGTGTGTGAGTCCCACGAATGTGACAGGGGCAGGCATCTGGCTGTCGCATGATTTTTTTGCATGAAATTCTGGGGCTGGTCTGGGTGATAAGATGCTCTGCATGGCCTGACCGAGGTGATTTTCCAGAATAGTAAACAATTGTTGATCGAGTTCTGAACAAAATAAAGTATCATCTTCTCTCAGCTTACAGGGCAGTTGCGTTCCTGGAAAATTAGTATATATTAAAACTGTTTCAGAATATTTTATGATTTGTGACAACATGAGTGGACCTTGGGAGCATTATGCTAATAAGTCAGGCAGAGAAAGACAAATGCCTTACAATCTCTCATATATATACACATATGTGTGTGTGTGTGTGTGTGTGAAATCTAAAATAAAAAGAAAAAAGAACTCAGAGAAACAGAGAACAGATGGGTGGTGCCAGAGGTGAGGGTGGGCGGTGAGGGAAATGGGTGAAGATTGTTGAAAGATACAAACTTCCTCTTATAAGTAATTTCTGGCAATGTGATGTACAAAATGGTGACTATAGTTAACAATACTCTACTTTTGAGTATTTGAGTATTTGAGTATTGCTAAGAAGGGAGACCTTAAAGTTCTCACCACAAGAAAAAAAAGTTGTAACTATGTGAGGTAATAGATGTTAACTAAACTTATTGTGCTGATCATTTTATAATATATACATACATCAAATTGCAGTGTTATAATAAGTCAATCATATCTCAATAAAATTAGAAAAATACAAAAACCTTGTGATTATATGTAAAACAAGGTTGGAGTCTAGATCACTATAAATGGATTTTTCACTATATTGAGTTTCTAGTAAGACAGTAAAAAATCACATAGGGCGTGGGACCAGTCTTTGTTATGTAGGGCAGATTATTCATCCCAGGCCCTGAGATTCCCAACGTGCCTCCCAGGGCGTGGGGCTGCCGTTTTTCCAGGCAGAATCAGCTCTGCGGGAGAAGAGAGGGGAAGTAGAGCCTAGAAGGCAAACAGCAGGAGCTGCCTCACTCTCTTCTGCTGCTGATCTTCACCACCTTCCTGTGCGATTTCCCAGCATCCCAAATTCTCCTCTGTGTGACGAAGTCTTCACGCCATTTCAGGAACAGGTGAAAGTTATACTAGGAGAAGTGAAGTTTATTTTATTGAAGTAGCCATTTTACTCAGCTACCAGTCGTTTGGTTTCTTCGGCGCTTTCCTTGAATGGGACTTCTTCGGCGCTTTCTCCCCTTTGCACTCCCACATCTCCTCACAAGGTGGCACTGCATGCCCTGTTGCGGCTTGTCAGCAGCTGTACGGAGGCTCTCGGCTCGGCTTCTTCAGCTCTTTGGCCTCCTAAGACTAGTGATAACACCAGGAGGTGTCCTCAGTTAACCTGCGGAGCAAGGGGGTGGGGGCTCTCGGCTCTCTGGTGGTCAGTGTTGGTGTTAACCAAGATGCTAGAAAACTCCACCTACCTTTCTCCATTTAGGTGTGAAGAGCATTAATTTATAGTTAATGATAAAAGGTGAAATCATTAAATGGTGTAATCATATCTTAAGGAATATTTTAGGGTGTTTAGGTTCCCTGAAATGTTTTAGCCATTCTCTTGGCAAATATCGGTTATACAATTAATACGGTGTTATCACACATCTAAATTTAGCCTTGCTAGAGATGCAAATTCTCTTAATTTAGGTTGCTCTGAAACTTCTTTCGGTTGTGAAACTGAAAAGAGGCAGGATGTGAGGGGGAAAGCTGCTAATAGTATCCTGATCTAATTCCTTTTCAGTCAATGTAAACAGGTAGCTCCATCTCTTGTCAGAGCTTGGTGTCTTTGTTTAAACTTTAAAATAAGCACACAGGATTAATAAAGAGGGACTTCCTGGAGAAGTGCGACTGGTCATCCAGACAAACCCGGAGGGTTTCATTCCTGAACGATTGGTCTCAGAGAGCCCAAGCCTTGCGCTAACAGATACTCGCAGGAGACTTACATAGAAAAACCACAAGGCTGACTTTCTCTTCACGTGATACTAATAGTCATGTTTGTGCAAGAGCACCTTCTCTCCCTTGAAACAAAGTTACATGGGAAGTTAAGCGTGTCAGCAGAAGATGTTTAGCAGGCGTGGACTCAGAGCAGCAGCATGGGTGGATGTGATGGTGGTGCCATGGTAGCAGAGACTGCTCACCTTTGCCTCTCTGAGCCTCTCCGGTTCTGCACTCTCTTCCTGGACTCCCCGACCCACGTGACTCACACAGTGCTCACCAACCGCACCCTGCACTGATGCCTCTTCTGCTAGATACGTGAAATGCGTGTCTCCGTTTGTACTCCTTGGCTTCACTTGGGAGCCCAATTCCTCCTCTTGCAGTCTCCTCCCCGCAGGAACCTGGAGGGCGCTCACAGCCATTCAGCAGGTCCCCCTTTGGCTGGGACACAGGCCCATCTAAATTTAGTGCCAGTTCTCCATGCCTTAGTGTCTCGGTAATTTTTTTACATCCCTTCTTGGCCAAAAGCAAAACCAAACACTTAAAACGACTTAATAGGTCTACAAGTCCTAACAACTTAGTAACTGTTTGAAAAAATAGATATATGTAAATGGAAAGAAAAGGCAATTCTTAAAATTTCCTTCTTAGACACCTACAGTTGTCTCAAACCTTGGAATCAGACTGGTTTCAGAGCTAACTCTCTTCACCACCATTTTAGCTTTTTAATTTAGTGACTACAAAAATGAAGAGAAATACTATATATTCATGTTGGCATTCTTTACTGTTCTACCTATGCTAAAATAACTTTTAAAATATTGCCTTTTACACAGTGACTATCTTTATAGGATTCAAAAGTCAAATTCTTACAACACCACTGAGCAAGCATGAAGAAGAGATTTGTTCAAAACAGTTCAGTGTCTACATTCCCACATTCTACTCTGAAATGAAATAGCTAGAAAAGGGGGAGGCCAGTACACATCTCCTGACTTGATATTAGTCTGAGTCCTTTACCTGCACAGGTGTGACCTCAAAACAGTGCGCTAACCTCCTGACCACCCATCGTTGTTGCAGGAGGCCGAGGGAAAGACGGCGCCCCCATCATCACTTTCCCAGAGTTTGTGGGGTTCAGACACATCCCGGATGAGGACTTTCTGAATGTCGTGACCTACCTGACCAGCATCCCCAGGTGAGCTGAACACAACATTCTACTGCCTTCTTAGTCCCTGGCTTTGTCCCACGTTTCCCACATGGCAGGTCGGGGTGGAAATGGAATCTTCCATGAGCACAGCTCACACTGGCATTATGTAACTTGGCCAGTTTCATCAGTCACAGACCAGGGACGTGGAATGAGACTAGAAAGCAGTGATGAATGAGCATCAGTTCTGTTCATACTGTGCATGTAGGAGGCACTTACTACACATTGCTGAGTGAATGACACACTGATGCAACAGCTGAAGCTGTCTTTGTTCTTCCAGGTTCATTGCTCTGGGTTACGTTAATTCGGGCTTCCTGGGGCCTGTTGCCAGGGACATGTGGCCATTGCCCAAGGAACTCTAGTCATGTTAGGAGTTATCTCATTTATTTCCTTTAAATGAGGAATTTAGGGGCAGACTTTATCATTGTCATTGTGAGATGGAGAAACTGAGGCACACAGCAAGGAAACAGAAAGGCCAGGAATCAAAGCCACGTTACAGTGGAGACCATGGCAGTGATGTTTTGGGGCTATTTCCACCCTCTGCAGCCATGTCTCACACCTTGACGCCAGTGGAGCTGATGCCCAGGTTTCCAAGGGATGGAGTGTGGGACGGAGTTCATGGTGGTGACCAGCACTTTACAAAGACGGAGCTGGGAGTAGGGTCTGGACTCGCTGCTTAGATAGTGCTGGTTCCTCTCCAGAGGGGCAGACCAGCACCACCCTCCATGGGTTTGTGCTGCTTATGATACCATCTCTTACTTAAGTGCAGTGTGGTTAGGAATTTACACAACAGCTATGTGTGTTTGTGTGCTGTTGTTGTGCTCGCTTTTCACCTGCCACCTACGATGATTTAGAGGTAAATGCCGGCTTTGCAACTGAAAGGCCACCTGGAGTCTAATCCCACCTGTGGAGATTAAGAAGTTGCTTAGTTTGCTTCAACCAAAGCCACTCCATGGAAATAAGGAACAAACTGACAGTGACCAGAGGGGAGGGTAAGAGGCCAGTCAAGGAACATGAATAGAGGGTTCATCCTCACGGACGGGGGGGTGGGGTGGGGGGGGTGGGGGGGTGGGGGGGGGGTGGGGGGGGGGTTGACTGTGGGAGTTGGGGAGGATGGGGCAGGAGTGAGCAACGGGGGCGGGGTGGGGGAGGCGGGACAACTGTAACCACATAACAGTAAAAGAAAAGACTTTTTGGTTTTGTTTTTTAACCCTTCTTACTTTCTGAGAGGTTATGGGTATATTTTTAGTGCACTTCTGCACAGTTCAGTACTTGATTTCTACTTCACCGCTCTCCTCCCGTCCCCATGTGGGCTGTGCATTGTGCAACCACAGGAGGATTTGGGCCTTTGTTGGGTTGGGGGAAGGATACTGAGCCTGAGTTGTGCTGTTCTACCTGCAAGAGCACCTTCCTGACCCTTCTAGGCCTGGCTAACTCCCACACACCCATGAGCCCTCAGCCCCGTGTCATTTCTTCCGGGAAACCTTCCTTAACCACAGTTCTGCTCTCCCAGACTCTTTATTTCCACAGAAACCGAAGCTTACCCCTTATAAACACCATAGTAGATGGAAATAATTTCTGCCTCTTCTGTTAGACTGGGGCGTCCCTTTTTCTTTTCTCTTTTTCTAAAATTGTAGCTCTAGCACAGTGCCTAGCACATAGTAGGTTCTCAAGAAGTGATGTTGGTAGAATATCTGGTTCTGATATGATTCATTGTAATCTAAAGATAATTTTATAGGGTGAGCAGGGGGACACTGACAGAGACAGGAGACCCCATTTCTCACTCCTGCATTGGCTTCCTGGGTTGTAGGTCAGTGAACGTGGTCTCCCTCTTTGGCCCCGTTGCATCCAAAACAATCGCCCATCAGTTCAGCGTCTGTGGGAGCAGTGAGGCCGACGGTGAGCAGGGAGCTGAGCAGCAGGTGGATGTGGACGTGCCCCTGCCCCGTTACTTTGGATTGATCTCACTGTGCCGTTTCACTGAATCCCTAATTGCAGTCATGTGCAGTCATGAGCAGTCAGCAAAACAGGCAACTTGCATCTTGTGCCTGCAGACTTCTTCCAAGCATGTGAGTGTCTCGGAACCAGAGTAGAAAGAAGCACGGAGGGGCAGAAACCCTCATCTCACAGGTGTGCAAGATAAGACAAAAACAAGGGGCTACTGTCTGGGCCTGATTTCCTTTTTCCGCTCTATGTTCCTTGCAGAATTGCTGGTAAACTCAGGAGTACTTTCCTTTCCTCAAATGCTGTTTGTCCCTTGAGAAAGAGTGCCTGCTTGACCAGTTATTCCCCTTTCTTTTTCTTCGCATTGGCTCATACCCTCCCTCTGACCCACCCTTCGGTTTCAGCATGAAAGGAGAATTTGACCTGATTGTCCAGTTTCTATTTCAGGTTCCTATTTATCAAAATTGGCATCTTCCTAACTGTTACAGTGGTTACCAGGCACCACCGCCCGTCTCAGATTGCAAAATGTCGACGGGCAGTTAGCAGAGGGCCCCTGACACAGAACCGATGCAGCAGAAGGGAAGCACGACGAGGCACTCGGGACTGGGAGCCAAGTTCATGCATTACTGGGATCTGCCGCTGTCCTCTTCCCTGCCCTATTCGAGTCTGCCTTCGTCTTTACTATCTCCTTTCTTGTGCTTTCAGTTTTCTTAGTTTTTGTCGCTTTTTGGGTTAAAAATTTTATTTATTTTCATTTTTTATTTTATTGATATAAATGTTTAGGGTTATGAGTTTTCTCTGATCCTTGCTTTAAGTGTATTTTATTAGTTCTGATATGTGGTATTTTTATTATCACTGTATTTTAGAAATTCTGTAATTTCATTTTATATTTCTCTTTACTGAAGAGGTGTTTAATAGAAGGTTTTTGATTTTCAGGTGTCTTTTTTGTGGCCTTGTAGCAGGATGCATTTTTGTGGGTGCTCCATGCGTGCTTGAGAGAACAATGGATCCTCTGTTATGATGTAGATTTCAACACATATAACCTTATGTTGTCTGCTCTGTCTTATACTGCAGGTGGTGTATTAAAGTCTCCTATGTAAAGTGTATTTCTGTCTCCTTTCATTTCTGCCTTAAAAAAGTTGATTATATGTTATTTGGAGCATAGATATTTAAAACTATCATATCTTTATTGTGAATTGTGACTTTTAGCATTAAAAAGTGTTCCTTCTTATGTTTAATGCTTTATGACTTGAATTCTACCATGTTGATATCGAGCCTGAACCCCTTTGCTATTTTTCCCATTTGCTTAGTATACTTTTGCAATTCCTCTTAGTCTTTCTGAATCACCTTGTTCTAGATTTTTTTCTCTTGTATACAGTAAATAGTTGGTTTTACTTTGTGAGTCAAATTGAAAATCTTTCTCTTATATTAGGTGAGTTAAGCTCCTTCATATTTATTGATATGATTGATATATTTGGTCACAATTTTATCATTATTTTGTTGTAACAGTTAGATGTATTATATTTACTGTATTTCTCTACATGATAGGTTTTTTTCTCTTTTGTATTTTTGACTTCTTTTGGTTTTTAGAAAGATTTGTGATTTTGTCCTGTATTTATACCTTTTTAATGCCATTAGTCCCTGTTTTTAAATACAATCTTTTACTCTCTAGTTGGTCAGTTTTCAGCACTACCTTTTGATTCCCACCTACTGTCTCTACAAAAGTCAATGACTTTATTATTTTCTCTTCTTTCTTTTCGTCTTCCATCTTTTAACTTGCATTATTTCTATATGTTATCCTTCCATCATTTTAGTATTAGACCTACCATTAAATAAATTAATCTCTTTGCTGAGTTTCTCTAGGTTATCTTTTGATTGGATCTTTACTAGATTATTCAAAATGAGCTCATAGGTACAGAACTTCCTGAATTTTTACATGTTCACAACTGTTTTTATGTTGTCTTAATACTTGAAAGCCCACTTATTGGGGTATAAAATTCTGGGTTCACACTTCTTGGTCATGAATTATTATAGAATGCTGTTCAGTTCTTGCCATGATTTTTATGTTGCTTTTGAGAAATATGATGCCTGTTTGTTTCTTTTGTCCTAGTAAATTATTTTATCTTTTTGCTTGAAGGTACTTAGAATTTTTACTTTATTCTTAAAACCTAACAGTCTTACTGAGATAGGTCTTAAGAGTTGATCTTTCAGATCAACTTTCCACTGTGACTGCTAGGCCTCTTCAGGTACCTGTAGATTCAGGTCTTTTCTGTGTGTGTTTGGAAATTTTCTTGGATTATACTTGTAAATATTATTTCTGCCCCTTTGTTTTGGTTTTAGGCATTAGGGACTTCAGATATAAGTATGTTGGTTCTTTTTTGGCTGGCTACAATTTCAACCACTTTCTGAACATTTTTTACTCTCCCTCCCCCCCCATTTTAATTTACTTATTTGTTTTCTTTATGTTATTCATTGTCCCTTATTAAATTTTTAAATTCAAATTATTAAATTAAAATATGCTCTCCCTGTGTATCTTTAATTTGGACTGCATTTTTTATAATTATTTTTCTTTTATTTTTCTGACTTTAATAAACTCATTTTATTTCCTCTTTACATATTAAAAAGCCCATTTCTGTTCTTGGTCTTTGAGTTTCTTACTTAAAGCCTTCTCCCATATCCCCAAATGCTTGTTTTTAATTGTCTGGAGAGCTATGTTATAGCAGGGTTTTTTCCTTAATGACTAATTTTTTGGAGGGATTTACATTATTTAAAATATTTTCATAAAATAGAGCTCTTAACAGTAGTTTTAAGTTCACAGCAACACTGAGTGGAAAGTTCAGAAATTTCCCATCTACTCCCTGCCCCACCCCAAGACAAATCTTCCCTGCCCTTAACACTCCATACCCAAGTGGTACATTTGTTACAATTGACAAATCCACATTGACACATGACTGTCACCCAAAGTCCATAGTTTATATTAGGGTTCGCTCTTGGTGTTGTGCATACTGTGGGTTTAGTTTAGACAAATGTATGATGACATGCACTCA